ATATTTTAACATCTCGTTCAACATCTTGTTTTACCAAAATTAGTCTAATCTTTAGAGATTTCAATTACCCTAGAAACTCAATGAAAACTCAGCAGCCTCATGCATCTTTAACCTTTGTCTTCTGCAAAATTCATGAAACTTTTCTAAATCAACTTTCAGGAAATCATCATGCATTAACCTCAAATTCCATTTATTGTTCTTGTTATGAAAGTCTTCACCGGTTAATGATGAATGAAAAACAACATTCAAATCTTCTAAAATATATAAACCACATATTTTTTATCCTTTAACAATGATCATTTCATCATGCAAAATCTTCAACATTTCATGGTAAACTCTAGTACAATAGCCTAGATCATTAAACATGCTTATGGACAACAAATTTTGATGGAGATCTAGAACATAACTCACATTATGAAGAAGAAACTCACGATCATCAAACATTTCAAGTCTGACCATACCAATACCATGAAACTTGCAAACCTTATTGTCACTGAGGTAAAATACACCACTTTGCTCCAACTTCAAAGTCTCAAAGTATTCTATTCTCAGACATATGTGATAACAACAACCTAAGTCTATGACCCAACTATCTTCAGTCTCCAAACTCAATAACACTAGTGCATCAACACTCTTATAACCATCCTCATCTAAGGCAACCACAACTTAAAAAGAATCACCATTGACCTTTATCTCAAGACAATCCTTCTTAAAGTGATCAGTTTTCTGATAATTATAACATTTTACATTTGACTTTCCAAACTTCTTTAATTTCGATAACCCTCTACGCTCACTTCCTCTTTTTGAGACACTCAAGCCTTCACCACTATCATCAATCTTCAAATCTTCTGCCTTTGAAAATTCTTTAGATTTAACCTCTGCTTAGACTTCATCCAAAGTAATAGTACTTTATTTACCATAAAGAATTACATCCTTAAAGTGTTAAAAGATCTGGGTAATGAACTCAACAAGAGTAGACCATTATCCTCATAATCAATCTTCACTTTAATATTCTCAATATTATCATTAATCTTGTGAAATTCTGTCAACTGGTCCACTATTTGATTTGTTCTCCACCATTAAGAATGAATAGAGTTGTTATTTCAATCACAACATGTGAACCAAAGACTTAGTCGTATACAATGATTCAAGTTTTACCCACATTTCAATCACAATTTACTCCCATGTGAATTCCCTTAAAACTTTATGCCCTAGGCACAAGATAATGGCACTATTGGTCTTGCCCACCATCTCAGTCTTCCATGTTAATGTAAGCCTTATAGGAATCAATGCCTCTCCCTTCAAAACTTCAATACATTTCTCTTGATTTAAAATTGCTTGCCTCTTCACTTTCCACAACCCAAAATCATTGTCTCCATAAAATTTCACGATCTCCCATTTAACCATGATTCTTACTTTTAAACAATACCTCTTTACCCCATGATGGGTGCCACCCGGTGTGAAAATGATAAGGTTCGATTCACATAAAGGAATTTGATATGTGAGTATAAAAAGTAGTAGCAACCAAAATAAATGGCATTAAATAATAATAGCCAATAACCAATGAATTTAGAAGAAGATAAAATAAGGCGAGAAACACAAAAGGTTTACTTACCAAGTTCGATCAAGTGATCTACGTCTAGAGGAGATAACAACTATCCAATTCAATATACTCTAAAAGTTGTTACAATATATTTCAAATTAGTTATAAGAAAAATATACTTCAAAGTTTATAAGAACAACCCCTATTTCTACCTCAAGTGCTTGCCAATCTCTCAAACTCTCAATATAAGAATCAAACAAACTCAAGGTGTTTAGAAGTATTTCTAAATCCCCTTATATAACTTCAAAGGTTTCCCAAAAACCATTGCCTTTCTAAGTTTTCCCTTAGAATTCCTTAAACCCTTATTTCTCTCTTTTGCTTTAAAATTGTCACACTGTAAAAACAGAATAAATACATATTATAATTTCTAAAACCAAAAAAATACATAGCAAAGTCCAAAACAAAATCCATTAATTGTTAAAATAAACTATTATAAACATTTTATAACAACTTTCATAGTAACTATTTCTAAATTAATATAAAAATATATCTAACATTCTGACATTCTCTTCTTTTTGACTTCCTGATTTCTGAAATCTCAAAATATATTTCTTTCTCTTCATCACATAAGGTTTTAAGGCATACTTCAAAAAGATTTATACTCAAAAGAAATTAAAAGAAATAGAAGACAAATAATAACACTTTGCACATTTATGACCTTCAAAGAATTAAGTCATTTATGATTGTTTTCTACATGCACAATGTTGAAATTCTATAGACCCTACTCATAAAAAACAACCTTTCAATCTAAATGGACACTAAAATTTCAAGGATGGTGTGTATTGATATCTCACTTTCTTCTAGTAATGTTAATATGTACCATTATTTCACATTGCGACACGATAACTTATTTTCTATTTTCCCGCTTAAATTTAATTTTATAATCACAATTGTAAATCTTAACATTTCTACTTTACCTCGAACCCATGTCAACAACTCATCTCCTAAAATAATATTTCTAACGACATGAGCAATCAAGTATAATGTAAACTTTTGCATCAATGAGAGAATCATTAGAAGTAAAGTAAACTTGTAGATATTCCTTGTAAAGAAAAAAGGTTTAGTTGATATAGTGGCGATGGTAACTCGATGAGTAGGATTGACCGGTTCTTAATTTGGGATGTTATTATTAACAGATGGAGGTTGATGGGTCAATTAATTGGCCCGAGAGACATTTAAGATCATTGTCCTATTTGGTTAGTTAAGGATAGTGATAATTGGGGCCCTAAACCTTTCAAAATCAACAACGAGTGGGTCTCTCACAAATCTTTTATTGATTTTGCTGAAAAGGAATGGAAATGGATGGTTGTGGGAGGTAGGAGTGATTATGTTTTAAAAGAAAAGCTTAGGGTGCTCAAGGAGAGACTTAAATGGTGGAATTCAGAGGTATTCAGGAGAATTGACTTGGAGGAGGAGAATGATGTTAGGGAAGTGAATGAAGGGGACTTATTATTAGAGGATGATAACGTAGATAGGAGGGAGGCGATCCTTAAAAAGAGGAAGGAGGCTACTAGTCGGTTTTTGTTGGATTTGAGGATTAAGAAAAATATGTTAATCCAAAAATCTAAATTAAAGTGGCTAAACGACAGAGATTCTAATAGTGATTTTTTTCACAAGGTGATGAAGGAGCGGAGAAGGCACAATCATATTGGGCCAATCATTTATTCGGGAGGTATGTTGGAGTCGGTCAAGGAAGTTAAAGGGGAGGTATGGGGGCCCTTTTCTAGTAAGTTTTACGAATCAGATTGGTGTAAACCAACTCTCGAAGTTATTAATTTAAATAAGCTCAAAGAGGAAAATATATTTATGCTCGAATCTCCTTTTCTTGAAAGTGAGATTAAAGATGCTATTTGGGGGTGTGGGGGTGTAAAAGTCCGGGACCGGATGGCTGTTTGTTCCTCTTTATAAGAAAGTGTTGGTTTTTCCTCAAAGAAGATTCTATTAATTTCTTTAATGGTTTTCATTCTGAAGATGTTCTTTTTAAAGAGGTAATATCCTCTTTTTTGACCTTGGTTCCAAATTCCCCCAACCCGGTGGGGTTGGATGATTATAGGCCAATTTGTTTGGTGGGATGTATGTACAAATGTATTTCTAAATTATTGGCGACTAGATTAAAAAGGGTATTGCATTCTATTGTTTCTCTGTGTCAAAGTGTATTTGTACCGGGTAGACAACTTCTTGACGTTGTTTTGGTGGCGAGTGAAGTGGTGGACTATGCGAATAAGGAGAGAAGTAGTTGTCTTTTGTTCAAGGTTGGCTTCGAGAAAGCTTATGACAAAGTGAGTTGGAATTTTCTTAGATTCATGTTGAGGAAGATGGGGTTTGGGGATCGATGGATGTTATGGATGGAAATGTTGATCTTCCAAAGTAAGATGTCAGTTTTAGTTAACGATAGTTTGACTAAGGAGTTTGTGGTGGAGAGAGGGTTGAGACAAGGTGATCCACTATCTCCGTTTCTCTTTGTGTTGGTAGAGGAAGGATTAACGGGTTTGGTGCGAAAAGCGGTGGCAAATGATGAGTATGAAGGATTTGTTATTAACCGCAAAAGTATGGTGGTCATTCTCCAATTACGGATGATAGTTTGTTGGTTGGAAATGTGAGTTGGAAACATGTTTGGGCAACAACAACAAGCTTATCAGTATCAATACCAGTGATAACTTTTTGGAGGCAGCTTCTAATTTTCTATCTTGTAAGATTGAAGGGAAGGAATTCTCTTTCCTAGTTATCCCCATTAGATCTAATCCAAAAAGGGTTTCGACTTGGAGTAAGCTCTTGGACAAGATGAAGAGGCATCTTTCAGATTGAAAAACTCGGTTTCTCAATCTTGGAGGAAGGAACATACTTCTTAAATTGGTATTGTGTTCATTATCGATTTTTTACTATGTCTTTCTATAAAATACTGATGAAGTTTGCTAATGATATTATTAAGCTTCAAAGAAACTTCTTGTGGGGAGGGTCGGAGGAGAAAAGAAGAATTTTTCACTGGGTGAGTTGGAATAATGTTTGTCTACCTATAGAGAAAGGGGGAATTTGTATTAAAAATATCGTGGATTTTAATTTGGCCCTTCTCAACAAATAGAGGTGGAGGACTTTACAAGGTTCAAAATCTTTATGATATAATATTTTGCGATCTCGTTATGGTGATATATGTTTGTAGGTTGTTAGAGGTGATATTGATTTAAAGGTTTCTTTTACTACATCATCTTGGTGGAAGGATTTATTATCCTTAAGCTGCAAGAGGAAGGTGGATGCTATTATTGAAAATTGTAGATTCGGTTTACACAGAGGCTTCACAACTGCTTTTTGGTACACGAAGTGGTTGCAAGATCTGGTTTTAAAAGATAAATTTCATGCGCTTTACTGTGCCTCGCAACTTCAGTAGGTCGCGGTAGCAGGGATGAGGTCGTGGATTGAGGGTGTTTGGTATTGGGGTGACTTCGGGATCTCCCAAAGAATATCACAGCAACACGGTTTACTGCTGGAGATACAGCAACTTCGACTTCTGCTTGATGGTTCCAATTGTAGTCTGATTGGGATTGATTCTGTCGAGTGGAAATTAGAAGAAAATCAGTCTTTTTTGATCTACTCCTGTTATTCATATATTGCAGGCCGGAAAATCCCTTTTGGTCCTCGTAACAAATTTGACAAAGCTTTGCAATTGGTGTGGAAAATGGGGGTCTCTTATAAGATTAAAGCTTTTGGTTGGAGGTTTCTTATTAATTCACTTCCAACTAAAGATCTTCTTAGAATTAGAGGCATTTCTTTTTCTATTGATTTCCAAAAGTGTGTTTTATGTGGGATTGCATATAAAAGTTTGGAACATTCCTTCTTAAATTGTTTTGTTATAAACTTGGTTTAGAGGGATATAGTGGAGTGGATTGGTTTCTCGGATTTTGCAAAGATTGAGTTGAAAGGAAGTTTCATGAAATGGTACAATTTTTGCAAGCTTAAGATGGTGAAAGAGGGTAAAAAATGTTGCGTTTGGTTGAAAATTTCTTGGAATATTTGGATTCTAAGAAATGACACTGTGTTTCGTAACGAGAGCTGAAATGTTCTTGATGTCGTGTGGAACATTAAGGCTACGATTTAGAGATGGGTTTTGATAGGTGAAATTACCTACCCCAATTATAATTTTTATGAGTTTATCAAAGATTCTATGTTTTTCTAATCTTAAATTTAATTGGTCGGTAATTTCTCTTTTTATGAAGTTATATTACTCGAATTCTTGTGTAAACAAGTGAGAGAATCCTCAATTTTCTTTTTAATATATCTTGATTGAAAGAAGAAAAAAAAGTATCCATATCTGATGAAACAATATGCTATTACAGTAAACACATATTTTAGATTTTAGGATCCAAACGAGTATTATGTACATCTTGTTAGAATTCATATTTTAGGATCCAATTGTGCATCACTGAGCATGCTATTACCTGAACTATATCAATACATAGTGTTTGACATGATTGAAACGTGAGCACTACAAAATAGATGAAAAAGATAGTATTACATTAGCTTTGTATTCATTCAGAAATTATGTATGGAATCCATCTAAACTTTGATCTTCTTTTAATGAAGAAAAAAAAAACTGTGAAAATAAATTTTCAATACTAAACATTTTCTATATAGATAATAATTAGATTTTAGAATTCATGTATATAAATTTTATTTTATATAATATACTTTGAAAAATATTATTAAACTAGTAAAAAACTCGTATAGTTAATATTATATATTTTTTACTCTCATTTGTCAAATTTGTATTTATTTATTCGGTTGGTTAACATTCGTATTATTACAAATATAGTAAGTGTCTTGAACCCTTGTATCTATTTATTAAAAAAATTATAACTTATTTTCATTTATAAAAATAATTATATTAATAATTAAATTTTTCTCATTTATAAAAATGATTATAACTTATTTCCGTTTATAAAAATAATCATATAAATATATGGACGTTTTCCGTTTATAAGTGCCTTGAATTTGTATGACGATTTATAAAATTATTTTTTACTTATTCCTGTTAAAAAACAATTGCATCAATAGTTAAATTTTTTTCTTTTATAAAAATATTTGTAACTTATTAAGTTTATAAAAATTATTGTTACTTATTTTCGTTTATACAAATAATTATATCAAAGTGTAGATTTTTTTCTCGTTTATAAATGCTTTGAATCCGTAATATTTTTAACTTATTCCTATTAAAAATAATTGTATCAATAATTAAATTTTTATCGTTTATAAAAATATTTGTAACTTATTTTCATTTATAAAAATGATTGTAAAACTAAATGTTTGTCCTATCATCTTTTATTTATTCAATAGTGATAAACATGTGTCTCGTATTTAATTATTTTTATAAATAAATGTCATCTATTAGTGATAAATATTAAATTTATCATTTTAATGTTTAGTTAATTTGCTTTCAAGTAAAACAAATATTCTAACTAATTAAAATAACTATTATATAGAAAAAAAGACAAACTTAAACATTTTATTTTTTATTATATTATAAAATTTTACAGATAAAAAGAATTTTTTATTATAATATAAAGATAAAAATAAAATTTTATTTTTCATTATAATAAAATATTATAATAATCATAGATAAATTTATTTTAATTTGTTGTCAAGTAAAATAAATATTCTAACTAATGAAAGTAAATATTATTTAAAAACAAATGTAAGAATTCTAGTTGATTATATGTGTAACATTGATTTACGACTAATAGTATATTATCTTTAAACTCTATTTAATAATTGATAATAATATTATTCTCAACGCTAACATACATGATCACACGCAAGAAGTAAAACAAATGATTAAGTTAAATAAAATTTAATTTAATTAAATTATTTAATAGATTAGTATGAATATGATTTAATTAATTAAATGAGAATTAACAATTAATAAAATTAATATCTTATTATATTTAAATAAAAGAATTTAATTAAATATAAATAAAAGTATTAATGTTTTAATTGCTCTCTATATAAATAGGTAAATTCATTCCCCTAAAAATCATAATTAAATATAAATAAAAGTATTAAGGTTTTAATTGCTCTCTATATAAATAGATAAACTCATTCCCCTAAAAATATTAAAAAATATTTAAAAAAGGACTAGCACCGCTTTATATTGTATGGACTTACGCTAATAATTCTCACGTTCGTGCATAAAGTTAAAACACACTTAAAAAAATACTCTTGAAATCTTAATTTGAAGTTTTATTTATGATTAATGATTTAATCAATATCCAATTTATCAAAATTCTTCCACTAAAAAAATTATAGTTTTGAAAAACCATTCTTAAATCCCCAAATCCCCAAGAGCATCATGTCATTCTGATACTTTAATTCAATTAGTATACATGTCCAGGATTGAATCATGTCATATTGATACTCTAACTCAATTACTATATATACATGCCCAGGATTGAATCATGTCATAACATCTGTATTCAGAGCCATGTTGTACATAGTGAAAAAAATATATATACGTCCATGTGTATGTATAAAAAGGACAGAACTCGTCTACATGCTGTACAATGTAAATATGCTTCTACAAAGCTATCTTTGCTACTTTCAGTCAAAAGTACTAACTAGGTTGATCAGATTCACTATAACCAGACATTTGTGCCAGCTCTGATAATTCTACTTCACCACTCAGAACCTGCAGGAAATTCAAGATGTAATGAAGTCAAAACAAATTTGAGCATAGCATTAGCAGAGGTTCACAGTTATAGATTATAATTACAGCATAAGGCATTCTTTACCTGGCCATTAATAATCCATGTAGGGAAACCTTCTATTTTGGCATCTATGCATGCATCGATCATTTTAGTTCCTGTTCGAAATCCGTCAGGAAAACATTCCACATAATCCAATTGCTTAGCTGCCTCACGTCCAAACATCTGTATCAAGAAGTTAAAGTGAATAATTGTGCTTGAAGAAATGTTAGACAAGGGTAGCAACTTAGCAAGCAAGGGCTGTGAACTGTGATCGTCTTAGGCATATTCAAAAATAGAAAAATTGGTTGAAAATAAACAAAATAAAGGATATATGCTATAATAATATTCCTTTATTAAAAGTGAAACTGCCAAAGTTGGATTATGAAAAGTAATTTGATTTTGCACAAGTCACTTGCATCTCACAAAAATCATGGCAATTTCATCAAAAACAAATGAAAGACATTGACATTAATGATTGTTGTTCAATTTAGTATGGCTAGAAATTTCAAGAGGAATTATATGTAATCATCACGTACCTCTTTTTGTTCCAGACAGTGTGAACACCAGAAAGCTCCATACATTTTAGCTCCTATGGAGTGCAAATACTTTGCTAGAGATAATGCAAAGGGGCTTGATGGAGCTGTAACCTCTGTTGCAAAATATGGCAGCTCAACTTTAGCCCCGCTGTTAAATTAAACAACAAACAATTCAAAATATGGCAGCTCAACTTTAGCCCCGCTGTTAAATTAAACAACAAACAATTCAAAATATGGCAGCTCAACTTTAGCCCCGCTGTTAAATTAAACAACAAACAATTAGTGAATTTCAAATTGTATCTCACAAGCATAGCCATTCACCTCGATTCCATCTCCAACAGGAGGAAGAGAAACCAAAGCTAATGTATTACGTATGACAATGATGAAAATTCTAAAGGACAAAAAGCTAGAAATCCATCACTTTAAGCCGTCATTTCTGCCATAAAATACCATGGAGCCACTATTTTTTACAAATTGGTCAGAGGATGGCAAAAAATCCGCCACTGCAATCAGCCATGGCGTGTCATTGCTGCTACTTGACAACACTAATACAAATTAATTACAATATAACAACTACTTGAGGGTTGCTACTTCCATTTGCTATGTATATGTGCCAAAACCCAAATTTGTTAAGGTAAGAACATATGTGAAGGCTGTGCAAAATGTTCCAGACCAGATTAAATACATTCTACCAATCTCAACATGAATGAAACTGAAAGAAGCCAAGAAAAAGAGAATATATACCGAGTAAAGGAAACATTGAGGTAAAAGCCTGAATGTAAAATTTCATGAAAGAGAATATATATACTGAATTACGGAAACATTGACAAGGAGCATTTAGTGGATGGATAAGTTGAGCTGACAAACTATCCCAACCTCAAAATAGGCATCAAAAGACAGTTCAAAAAGACAAATAGAGACTACTTGTTAACCTAAAATTGGCTCAACCTTGTGAAATAGCGTCAATAGAATCCAGACAACAAATTGCAACGATGGAACATTATAAGGGTGCTATACAATAATATTCACCTTGAAGCATCAGATTTTGCACTGCTATAGGAGGTGTTCAGCGTGAGAATCACCAGGCCAGCAATAAACAACTGCAAACCGAGTTGTTTAAACTTCTCTTGCAATCCAATGTCCTATAACAGAAATTTCAAAAAGGGTATCAATAAGACAGAACACAAACAAGAAATACAAAAAAAATAAAATAAATAATAATAATAATAAAGGCTTTAACATAGTAAACCTTGAGTGTGATAAAGAATAAGGAGAATGACAAGACGACCGAAAGCAGACAATACAAGCAAGATGATCCAGAGAACGCTGTGGTTAGAATGTACAAAAAATAAGCACTAGCAGTTGCCATTGAGGTTGTGCATCCAAGCAACAATAATTGAGCACTGGATTTATTAATCCAAAAAGGTAAATTCTCCTTTGTAGCTAATTGAAGACTAAGAGCAGCTACAAAACTATACGCAACCATTCCAATCAAAGGAAGAGGTACACCTGAGAAAAATTCAAAATCATTCTCATTCACACAATGTTTCAAACACAATGTATGCAGTTATTTGTGTCCAATCAAAAAGCAT